GTGCTAGGAAAGATTGGGGTGACGCTCAATGACGAGCAGCAGCAAGCGCTCCACGACCACCTGGAAATGAGCAAGAAGAGGAGATTGGGACCCTCCCTCTCCCAGCAGGGCCCGACCCAAGCTGGGACTGAGCCTGAGCACCCCCCGGGCCTCACGGCACGACCCAGCCCAGGCCCTGCGGACCCCAACCAGGACACTGACAAGGATGGGCGACACCGCAGCAGGTCGCCCAAGAACGTCGCGGTTCCCAGCAAGGCAGATGAGCAGCTCTAGGGAGCAGGCCGGGAGGGGGCCACCAGTCAAGGGGAGTGGTACGCACCCCCTCCAGGCCAGCCCCGCAGTCCAGGCCTGGATCTGGACAAGCACCTTTTGTGAGCAGGGAGTGACCAGCACCCCTCTGTGCCTCCGAGCTGCCTGTCTATCAGTCAGAGGGATTGGGTTGTAAACGCCCACCCCCGTACCTCCCAGGATTTCAACGGGGAAATCAGGGGAGTTTCTTTTGCGGCTGCGTCTGCCCAGCAGTGCGCCGCGGCCACTTTCCAGGAGCCCGGGCTTTATTGGGCTCCTGGCACAGTTTTGCGCGGGGCCCTTGCTCAGGCCAGGGCCTCAGAGTTCTCTTCGCGGCGCCGTCAGCCCGGGCGCTATGCCGGCACCCCTAGGGGAACCTGGTCAGGGGCTGGCGGTACCTCTCTCGAGTCGCGAGAGGAGGGAGTCCACGAAGTCAGGGCCTAAACGTGCCAGAGGCCCTGCTTTCCTCGGAGAGTCGGGTCCCACCAGGAAGCACCGCACTCGTCGCTGGCGAGAACGGGTGGCTGAGTCCAACCGCCAGTTCTGGGCCGAGCTTGATTGGGATGCGGGTGAATCCCCTCCTGGGCCTTCGCGTTTGCTGCTGCTGGCACCTCGCCTCCCGCACACCATAGCGAATGGCCCCGCCAGCGTTGTTACTTCCCCCAGTCCGGGGGGCGCCGCTCACCGTCAGAGAGGCGACCCGGCCAGGTCCTTCTTGAGGGGCAGGGGGGGTAAGCCTAGAAGGCATCGCTGGCGAGCCCCGCGGCAGACGCCAACCCTGAACCCAGTGGCTGCCAAGGCTGCAGCCCTGGCCGGCGCTCCGCGCTACGCCTGAGTGGAGCCAGCTGGTTCTTGACTTTGCTGAGACTGTGGAGGACCAGGATGAGGCCGGCCTCGCCTACCGTGTCGCCTACGATGCACTTGACGCCACGCAAGGGGCGTCATGGCTGGACCCCACCCTCGCGGCTGCCTTCCTCGAGGATGTGGCGGCCCAGGGGCAGCGGGAGATAGCGAGGACAAACTCCGATTCGTCAGCGCTAATATCACCGCCTGGTCGGCGAACATCTTTAAGTGGCACAGGCCCGACAAGGGGCCCCTCCTTATCCAGGAGCTTCACATGGGGGACGAGGATGTCCAACGTCTTAAAGTCGATGCCCTCTCCCAGGGGTATCACCTCTTTGTTCCCCCCGTGCAGGGTGCCCGACCTGTCAAGGGCGGCATCGCCACCCTTGTGCCAGTGCACTGCCAGGGTCGGTTCCGAGGCGGGTACCTCACGGAGGATGGGGCTGGGTTCGTCCTTGTCGAGCTTTTCAGGGTTAGGCATTCCCTCCTCTTAGTCAATCTGTACCTTCGGCCGGGCGTCGGCATCACGGGGGACCCCAATGCTGGGGTCTTGGCCACGCTTCGCCCCTATTTACGGCAGTGCCCTAACTGGGTTATTGTTGGGGACTGGAACTTCCCAGCTCAGGAGCTTGAGGACACCTCGCTCCCGGACACCTTCAGAGGCTGTGTCCTGACCACTGGCGAGGCCACCATTACCTCTGGCAACTGCCTGGACTACGCCCTCGTGTCCCGAAAGGCTGCCTCGCTCCTTGCCGCCTCCGTCTCCTGGGACGTCCCCTTTAAGCCTCACGCTGCGGTCGAGTACGTCTTTCACAGTGGGGGGGGGCAGGTTCCCCTCCCCCAGCTGCCTGTTTTTGAAGGCACCCTCTGTGAGGCCCCTGGTCGTAGTGGGGCGGCGGCCTCTGGCAGCGCTTCGGCTAGCTCTACCACCCCCACTGAGCAGAGTGACCGGGGCCTTACTGTGTGGAGGCTGGGCACTTTTGCGGGGGAGACCCTGCCTGACACTGCGGCCAACCGCAGTTTCGCTGCACTTACTTTTGAGCTCGCTGGGGGCAGAGGGTGCACCCGCCCCTTAGTTCGCAAGCCCCTCATGCAGCCCTCGTCTGGGTTCCCATGGTATGGCCAGGAAGCTGCGTGGTGGCAAAAGGTGCGGCAGGCTTGGGACCCCCACAGGCCGCCCCTGCTCGCTTCGTTGCCCTGAGTGCTAGCTTTCCGCAAGCTGCGCTTGAGCCTCTCCGGACGCAGCTAGAGGAGGAGGGACTCCCCAGCCAGGACCCGGTTGCCTACGTATGCCCGCCTCAGGCCACCCAGGCGGCTGCCGACGGGCAGCGTGCTTTCGTTCGTGCCGCGTGTGATAGGGCGATTGCTGCTGCTAGGGCTAGTGAGACGCGTGACTATCAGGCTTGGCTTGCTGGGGCTTCTGTCAAGGGCCTCAAGCCGCTTTTCCGGGCGGTCCG